GGGGGGGCCGGCGCGGGCCGGCCGCTCTCCGGCCTCGCTGTCGTCGCTGTGACGGGGCTCTCGGGCGACGGGAGAGCGGTCGTGGGCGGCTCTGCAAACAAGGGCACTGCGTGAGACGCGGTTCTGTCACGCTGGAGGATGGGGCTGCTGCAGAAGCGCGTGACCACCAGCACACGGGGGAAAAGGAGGAAAACCACCCAGAAAACCCAAGGCCAAGACAGAGAATGAGTTACACTGTACGGTGACGTGAGTCCTATCAAAGAAGGTAGCTCAGCTACATCCATGAGATGGAGAAAGATAAGAGTCACTGCAAGAGGAGATCAATATCACTCCTGGTGAAATCAGCAGGTCCCATGAGAAGCATCCCCAGGCCACCAGGCAGTCTTGGCCCCTTGGGAGCTCCAGGGTGACGGGATAAGCCACGAGGCCATCACACATGTGAGCACTTGCTGCGCTGAGCCAAAGGACGGATCAGGGGCAGGGAGAGGAGACCAGCAGTGCGTTTTACCTGTCGTGACATTGTTAGCACCTATGCTCATGAGGCCGCTTCCCAGCAGGAGGACAAGGACCCACAAATCCATGTTGACCTGAGGAAAAGAGCAAAGAAGAGTCACGGAGCAGGTCCCGCAGCAGGTGCCAGGGCGAGGGCCCTGCGGTGCCTCGCGGATTCGTACCCACATTCACACATCCCCAACGGGAGGGCGCGACGGACCGGCCTGCCTGAAGCTGGGAGCAGATTTTGGGAGAGAGCAGAACCCCACACAGAGGAACGAGCCGGGGGAGGCAGCGCCGAAGGTCAAGCACTTGGTTTTTGGGAAATTTAATACTGTGTGTGCGAATAAGCATCCTGCAAGGAAACCTAGACGCAACGTGTGGGAAGAGCCCAGCACAGGGCTAGGGCCCCGCCGCGAAACCTGCAGCACCGCCTGTGCGCGGGCCGGAGCTGCTCCCCTGCACATTCGCTTTATTGCAAATCGGGTCGTTTTTGGACACCCTGCTCTTCCCGTCAGAGCGGCCCGCAGCTCCCTTCCCCCTCGCTGCCTCCCGGGCGGCTCGGAAGCGGGAGGAAATGCTTGTAACGTTATCAACACAAACACGGCTCCTGGCGGCGGCGACATCCTGCGCGCGCTGCCGCAGAGCAGCCCACGTCACCGCGCCAGGGCAGGCCGGAGCCCGGCGCGCTGTGTGCCCCTCCGCTCCCCTCTGTTTGCTTTTCGGGAGCAAATCCCCCTGGGCTGGGATGCCTGGGGCATCACGTGGGGATGAAACTGGGAGAAAGACGTGTTTTGGAGTGGATGCCAGGATTGGAGCAGGAGGAGGAGGATTCAGGTGGGAGAGTCACAAAGCTGAGAGAAAGGGTGAAATTCCGAGCAAACAATGACAGTGAACTGCTACACTCGCGTATTCAGAAATGATTTTTTTTTAAAGTTATATTTTTAATATATTTTTAAAACTTCGTGTGTTCTGTTTTCCCTGTCTCTGTTCCTGGCAGGAAAAAACATGAGTCTAGTCAATACATGAGCTCCAGTGTTCCAAAAGCACCAGTGGCTTTTGGTTTGGGAGCCGTAAGGATGTGTGGCTGTTCCTCATCCCAAGAGCATCCCTTCTCAATAATAAAGAAGCATTTTGGAGAGCAAGGATTTCTTCTTTTTATTTAATTACTTTAATGTCATGATCCCTTTGTCAGTTACTCCCTTTTGGAGTAACTCCCTGCAAATCCTTTGCTTACCTGCCTTCTTGCTATATATTTTTCATTTTATTTTTATGTTATTTTAACATGTAGTGGAACAGCATTGCTTCTCATTGCATAAATTTACATTTTTAAAACAAAAAATATGGGTGAAGGGTAACAGAGAAGTGCAGACAGCCTCATGGAAAGGGTTGGCAACAGTGATCAGAGAACTACTTCCAGCTTGCCTGTCATCCCTTGAGTCGAATTATAGATAAACAGATATATCTCTACAGATATATAGAGATATATCTATAGATAAAGAAACGAAAAGCACAAGTTTTACCACTACTAACTTAAAAACTTTGGGTTATTAGTTGTCATTTTAACTCGCCCAAATGCTGGGTTGCAGATGAGCCCTGCACAGCTATTGGGAATTTCAGAGACACTGAATTTATTTCTCAACATACCATCACTGAACGCATCAACTCCCAAGCTGGGCCGGAGAACCAGGGTTGAAAGCATCTTCCTCTCTCTGTATTTTATTTAACTGCCAGGAGCATCTTGAGACGCAGCTTTCACCGGCGCCTTCAAGCTGAAAAATGTGACCCGGGGCTGCTGCGCCGCCAGATGCCAACGCTTGAACACGACCTACAAACCGGTCACCGGGACACGGCCCAAGGTCAAAGGCAAATGGATTCATGGATATTTCTACGACTGCAAAGCCACAAGGATGCTGCTTAAAAAGCCAGCTCAACAAAATACCCCAATTTTCCCATTTTCATTGGAGGGTAAATCTCTCAAGGGCTGTAGGAACCTCACTGGTACATCCCTGGTCTCAGTGGGAAACTCCAAGTAACCAGCTATGAGCAACCTCAAGATGTCAAGGAAGACTTTGATGTCCTTCCTCTGCTTCCTATAGACCTGTATGAAAAAAGCTTCTGCCCATGAATTTTGGTTTTTGTACAATCTGGGCTTATCCCAATAGCTGAGCATAGCAGGGAGAAGGATCTTCAAACTCATCTTTGCTTCTTAGTTTCAGTTCCTGGGTAATCACAGCAGACTGGATCCTGCTTCAGGATCCAATTTCAGGGAGAAAAAAAAAACACACAAGTATTGGACATCTATGAACATCTCATCCCCCTTTTGCCAACCTGAAGGCCACCATGAAAACAACTCACTTAAAGAGAAAGGAAGTCTGCTGAAGGTAGCAAAGAAAAATTGGAAATTCAGAGCAAAATGCAGCACTGTCAGCTGTAATGCATTGCCAGAGGTATTAAAAGCTGGAGCAGATGGATCCTATTTGACCCTCAAAACTGCTTACAGTGGCTTCCAAAATAACCCAGCCCAGGAAAACGCTGCCCACTGGAATCCCATGGAGAAGAGAAGCATCCTGTGCCACAAAGAGGATAAAAACTGATGCCTTCCTATGGTGTAAAGGCAGGCAAGAGCAGCAACTCAGGTTAACAGGGAAGGCCCAATCAATGGGGCTTTGATTGATTACCATCAACCAGCCTAATTAGCACTCATTAACTTCTGTGCCGCCCACAGAGGGTGAATGTTGGCAATTAAGGTGATTGCCTAACAGCTCTTCACCCTGCTTGGGAAGGATGCAGTGCTGCTGCTGAGGAACCTTTTACTGCAAAGGACAAAAACAAAGTGCTCTGTGTGGAGGAAAATCTGAGAAACCTTTTTGGGGGGCAGTGAAGCAGGAGGAAAATATGTGGAATTGGTCATTTTTTGTTTGGTTTGCACCCTTGACTCATTTACAGCAATCAGCCTTCTAATGTTGGGTATAAATGTTGGGCATCCATGGGTATAAGCTGTGTGCAGCTCCGGGGGGACTAGGACCAGCACATTTGGTTTTCTGTAACCAACAAATTTACAGAGAATTAAGGGGACTGCAGATAAAAGTGACACAAGCGAGTGGGGAGAAAGTGGGTCCTGAGAGGAAAGATGCCCCCAAATCACCTGCACCAGCTGTTCCGAAGAAGTTACCATGGACTTGCACTAATCACGGATACACTTCTGGAACCACAAGCCTCTCCCATATATTTCTTCCCATCGGCTGCTGAAAAAGGATTGAGCAAACAAACTGACTCTTAAATTTGCTTCCCGTAGCTCTATTTCCAGGTAAATACTTTTCTTTCCATGCTTTGCTCACAATTCTAGGGTGTCCTAGTCCAAGCGGAAGGGGTGCTTCGAGCATGGGCAGTTGAGCCACACCAAGGGGCTGGGAATGGTCTAGCGTTCCAGCACGAGGGAAAACAAATAATTTATGCCAACCTGCTTCCAGCTAGCACAAGGTTAAGCCCCTAAATGGAAGCTAAAACTCTCTCTATCTTATCCCATTTAAGAATAGGAATCCTTAAGGATAGGGATTAAACAGCAGCGTGACCGCGAAAGGTTGTGAATCTTGGAGCAGGGGGAGCAAAGCGAAGGGGCACAATGGAAACGAAATCCTCGGTGCATTTCCATGGTTACTGGCACGCAGCTCCTTGATCAGGGGAGACGTAATTAGATTCCTGCTCAAACAGAAGACGTTTAGCAAAAATATCTGCAGCTACAGGCATGAGCAAACAGCTTTCTGCAGCTTATTGCACCGGCCAGCCCACGTGCAGCACTAAAAACCTCGGGGAGCAATAAATGAGAAGAAAATTCATTTTTTTTCACAAAATTTTTCAATCATGTCTGCTGCTTCCAATGTTTTGGCCGCCTCTACACCAAACCACTCAATGCCTCAAGTTACACACTCAGCACCCATCTGGGCCACGGTCTCTGGTGGGATGAGTACCCACAGCCCCTATGGATCCTACAGCAAAGCCAGTACTGAGAAGCTCTGACAAAAATCTGAAGCTCCGTGAGTCAACAGGACGATTAACTTGTCGCCCTCCCAGGTTACTCACAATCCATTCTCTATTTTAATCTCCCCAACAAAAGGCTCAACCAGAGCATTGTCAGCCAGGGTTTTCATAACCAACCTTCAAAATGTTCAAGGAATGGTAAAGAACAATGACTCCGTAACAGAATAAATACAATCTAAACACAAAAACGCCCGTTGCTAAGGTAAATAAGCAGTGGGTTTTTGGCACAGCTCAGCGCTGTGCATTCCAGTGCTACGGTATATTAAAAACGTGCTAGAACTCGGCTTCGGATGGGGGAGAAGAACCTGGCATTCAATTCTGACACATTTTCCCCTCAAGGATGTTATTTAAAACACCGATATTGTGTAACAGGCGCCGCTATTTAGGGGCCTGGGTGTTGCTTCAACCGTGAATGTTGGCACAGCCAGACTGGGGACCATGTCATGGTCATGGTCTCTCTCTGGAAACGGTCAGCCCTGCAGGAGATGGCAACGTCCTATGGCAAAAGGAACGCTGGAAAAACAACAGATCCAAGGCTATGATCACGGAGGAACTGGGCAGCCACCACCAGCAGCGACTGGGCAGGAGACAGCAGGAACTGGCAGTTCAGAGCCAAGGAAAGCCCCAACCCCTGCCACAACAGTTTGTCTTTTGAACCAGAACCACAAGAAGCCGCAGAGCACGGCATGGTTTCGACATCCTGAGCTAAGGACACTGCACCTGAGTGCTTGTTTTTGATACAGGAACCCTCTTCTTCAGCTTTGGGATACCCCGGAGCTGGATTTGCTCTTAGTTTTCTCACCGTTGCTGCACCAAGAGGG